TAATTTAAATCTAAAATTTTCATCCAATAAATTTCAGTTCGAATTTTGAATATCCTATATGTTTTAGTGATACTATAGCGGATGCACTTAGTCGTCAGTCCTCATACCATTAAAAATATTTTACGCTGAAAGCTAGGATATGACTTTCCGGAAATTCCCTAAAAATGCTTCCTTGAGTTTTGGCAGAAGTTTCAAGACTATGATTTCGCGTCATGCTCACTGTTTGTTCTTTTTCTGCTCCATTGTTCAACCGATTATTTCGAGTGCCATATCACTCGATGGAACGACAAAAACTGAACAAAACCGAATGTTTTGATGTTCTGATAAAGCATATCTTCGTATCCAAAAATGAAGCAAAATGGAAAATTTATTCAGATTGACGCAGGGTAACTACGTTTTGTCATACCTTCGAGTCATTCTTTCCGTTAGCCAGCTGGTTCTTTGCCACTCTTTAAACAAAAGATTCGTTCATGGAAACATGTAAACAAGAAATCGATGACACAGAATTTATTGTGCAGTAAACAAGAAATCACCCGAAGTAAGTTACATCATATGATTGAGACAGTTCGTTTTGGTGCCCTTTGCTTTCTATTTTGTTACTCAAGTAAAGCTGAGTTTTGTGTGTTGTGCATTTGTGTGAAAGAAAAGAATGATGTGTTATTTTAACGGAGTTCGAACTGATGAAAGAACAGAACGAAAAAGTAACTAGGGTGAGAACAAAGATGCAGTTAATGGTAGTAGCGACACAAAAAAGGGTTTATGAAACAACAATAAGAACAGTGAAGGCAACAATGAAGCAAATAAATAAAAATTATGTGTAATACGCAGTCAAAACACGCATGGGAAGATGGATTTTTTCAATTAAGATTTAAAAATTCTTACTACAATCGAGGATATTCCAGGGGGAACAGCTGATTTCTGAGCTTAAAAAATCGTTTAAAATAGAAAATCATAAAAAATCATTAAAAATGCTATTTTATGACGCTGTGGACACTACCAGCTGCCGTTGTGTTACTAGTTTCCGGTAAGTTTGACGATACTCACGTATTGAATTATTATTTTCTTTCATTTAATAGGAATTCCTAGTAGCGCTCAAACATCAATCAGTTGGTCCGGCTATCAATGGTTCTTGAAGGATCAGCCGAGCTGGGGTCCAGGTTAGGGCTGTGACAGTTACGAGTTACTGTTACCACCTTTACTCTGTAACTGTAACTGCTGAACAGTTGACGTTCTTGGTAACGGTAACGGATAAGCAGTTACCGTAAGTAACGATAACGACCAGTTACGAGTAACGGTAACTATTCAGTATATCCTGCAAGAGTCAAATCTCTAAATATCTAGGTATCCAGGGTGAGGATGAATGTTCGTACCCTCACCCTGGATACCTAGATATTTAGAGATTTGACTCTTGAAGGATATACTGAACAGTTACCGTTACTTGTACGATAACTGCTTACCCATTACCGTTACCAAGAACGTCAACCGTTCAGCAGTTACAGTTACTGTAACGCTAATGGTGACTGTCACAGTCCAAGAGTCCAGGTGCGTAATTTAAGATTTATTTTGTCCGAAATTTTTATATATTTGTAAAAGGTCCGAACGAGTGGTCTTCGAGTAATGTGTGGATCGATCAGAACAATCGTTTGCATCTCAAGTTGCGTCAATCAGGACCTAATGGCAGGTGTACGTGCGCCGAATTATATACTCAAACAAAGTTTGGCTATGGTACTTATCGATGGTATGTGGAAGGAACCATTGATCGTTTTGATCCAAATGTTGTCGTGGGTCTATTCACATATGGAGGTGTCGATGGTATAAACGAGATTGATATTGAAGTAGCCAAATGGGGACAAACATCTTCGAATGCGAGCAATTTATTCTATACAGTCTATCCGAGCTCCTTAGGGGGCCAAAGTTCGACATCTTCGAGTACACTTATGTCTCTTGAAGGTACCTACACAAGTCACCAGTTCACTTGGTCAACGTATCAAGTTGATTTTAAGAGTCAACATGGTCATTTCATTGATCCAAATTACAATGTCTTCTCTTCCTATCAAACACCATCATCATTCAACTGTCTTATACCACAAGATACCGCTCCGCTTCACATGAACTTATGGCTCTTTCAAGGCCAGGCGCCGATCGACGGTCAAGAAGTCGAAGTGATCATTCACAATTTCCAATACACTCCAATATGTCCAATATGAAAATTCTATTACGTTAATAACTTCCAGCAATCAACCATTCTGATTCAAATACCTATAATTCTTTTTAGAAAATAAATATTGAAAATCTTAAACATCATCGATGAACAAAACGGGCTCTCTCATCTAATTTAAAACTCATATCCTCTTGATATGCTCAATAGCCCACAATTGTCACAGCAAAACAGCAACCAATAACGATGACCTCTCCTTTCAAACGACACTATCATCAAGGTTTTGAATGACTTTATTTGAGATAAACTATCCAACGGGTGTACTATAAAGAATTCGATAGTTCTCATCATCCTGACTGGAACTTTTTTTTTGAAAAGACACTTCGTGCAATTCTCTAGAAATACCTAAACAACAGTTTTATTGTTGGACATATGCGTGATAAAATAGGCGTTGAATATTAGGTAATAGAACAATTGCCAGTTTCAGCACCTGCAACGGAACTTTCTTTTGGTATCTTTACAGTAGTTTCGAAACTATTGGAACTATTTTCTTTCCTTCTTCTGATGGAATGTTTCGCTTGATCAAAAAAGATCCGCTTGTCAAATCATTCCCTCAAAACAGATATGTCTCTTCTCTTCTTTTGCTCTTCGTTATCATGAATTTTTTTTGGACCAAAGACCAGTGGTTTCTCTCTGCAAAGTCTAACAATACCCCAAAAAAAGCATTTTTTTTACTTTTGGGTATTGGTAGAATTTGCAGAGAGAAACCACCGGTTTTTGGTTGAAAGTGGACAAAAGTACGTTCTTTTTGCTTTTTTGGATCTTGCGTGATGTGTTGGGGTCAAGGGGGAAACAGCGTACTATAAGGCGTAAAGTACGCCAAAGTACAAAAATTTCCAAAACTGGAATTCAGTCAAATCTTAGATTTGCCTGGCCAAAACTAAGATTCCATTTTGCCTAGCCAAAACTGAGATATAACTAGTCAAAAAGTGGAATATCAATTAAAACAGAATCTAAATATAGTATTATCACGCTCTTAGTTTCTCGGCTATAGACTACAGATGTATTTAGTAGAATGATTTTTTCTATATTCTGTAGCTTATAGCCGATACTTATCTACTTAACCGCGTAAAGGTGGCATGATATCTAAGTAGTACTGTTTTTTGGGGGATTTTGTTTTTTGTTTTCTATCTCTCTTCATTAGTTAATATGTCGAAAACATTGAATAACCTTAAATGGAACAAATAAAGAACAAGAGAAAAATGCAAATAAAGCTATGTACAGTATTTGATGAGCTCTGTCCTAAAAAAAGTGGTTTCAGTACTTCACTCTAAACTTTGTCAAAAGAAACAAGTTCCTAGAGAGACAGTAAGAGAGTAATCTCATCTTTAAGTTCAAAAACATCTAAATTTTTTAAATCATCAGGACAAGCTGTTCTTAGATCAACAAGACTTTCAATGGTGAACGTAGTTGATAATAAACCAAACTAACATGCTAAATAAAAAATATATCTTCGCCTTTTTTTTCTTTTGAAAGAATTAAACAAGGTAAGCGTTTTGGATCAGTATTCGTTCTGTCAACATCATGAATTTTAACACCGACACAAACTCTTTCCTTATATTGTTCAGCTAATCTAGATAAGTGTTCATCATACAGTTTTCTTTTTTAATTAGTTATTTCTAAATAATTATCTGTCGCTTTACGTCTTACATCTGCATGTCGTGGTGATGGTGACGCTGATGTTGCCAAATTCTATGCTGTTAAGGATGAAGTGGAGGACTGTGAATGCGAAGCTGAAATAGAAACCAAATTGGTATATTGAGATGAATATGCCAGAAATTCATCAAAAATATTCGTGGGTTCAAATGAAGTAATAAATCTTGTTTGACCTTGTGAAATTGTAGAAGTATTATCATTTAAGGGAAGTACATTACTTGCTGAGCCAATTGATTGAGAAAAAGTTGTTAGTGTTCGAGATGGTGGTGGTGGAGGAGAATCAAAAATAATAAGATTTGGTGTTTTTGAATTTGTTGTAATTGATTGAGGTTGATGATCATTAATACAGAAAGACGAAG